CAGAGGTCGCAACGGGCTGGAAAAATCGGCCCGAAGCCCGACCGAGTTTCCTTCATCCTCGCCCGAGCCCGACCGAGGCCCGACCGAAATTATTTTTTTTTCCCGAAACCCGAAATATCCCGAGATCGGGCTTTCGGAGCATATTATATATTCGGGACTAAGAGGCTCGAAGTCCGCTCGGGCTTTCGGGCATTTTCGGGAGTTATGTCATTCGGGCTGTTTCGGAAATTTCGGATTTTTCGATCATCGGGCAGAATTCCGAACCTCGGGTGATGAGAGGCTCGTCAGAGTTTTTGGCTACTAATAGGGAATCCTATACCATGTTCAGTCTTCGTATGTTTTAAAAATAATAAAATTAAGTGTCTCTTGATCTCTTTAAAGCATATATTTTGCAGATTAAATTGTGAGTTAAAATCATTGAATGTTTTCTGTTTTTCTTCATATTGATTCTCTTTAAAGTTTATGAAAGAGCAACATATGAAAATAATTTCAAATCAAAGAAATAAAACTTTACAAAAAAAACCACTGTGTGCAATACACTTTCTTATGCTTTTCAAATAAAAATTGATTTCCACAAAAATAAATAATTTTACCATTGAAGAGCCAGTCCATGCTGTTTGTAAATCATTATGTATATAAACAAAAGTAATCGACGTATAATTTCGAATATTTTCTGATCTCTTTAAAGATACTATCTATCAGATTTACTGCATATCATTTTTGATAGTTGATTCTATTTGTTGAAAAAAATAGTAAATCTTTAAAGATCACATGTGCTTTTGTGTTAAATCAAGAAAATAAAAAAAAAGTATAACACAATTTTTATTTTATTATTTAAGAGCTTCGAATTATTATAAAAATTGTTATCCTTAGTCTTTGTTAAGTCAAATTATGGTGAAAATAAGTAATTTAGGCATATATATGTTGTATTGAATTTATATCAGTCTAAAACATTAAAAAATTCAAATGTCAAAAACACTTAATCAATTCACATCATCCCTTTACTTACATTGACACACTGTTTCGATCTCTTTGAAGATTTAGCTAGATAGCTCTTTAAATTCATAAATTTATTGTAGAGAAATGATCAATTATTATTATTGTTATTTGTAATATGAATGAAATGCCTATGGCTATTTATGAAAGGATATAAATGAGTTCAAAACTGCTCTCTACTAGCGTTGAGTTTTGTGGGTGGTTGCACGCTTGACGGCGCGAGGATCCATTAGTCTTTCTGTCGGTATGAGAGTAGGACCTTTAGTTACCGTTGGGCTGTGAACAATACTTTTCGGCGTGAAAGGTGAATAGCGCTGACGGGCCATGAAACGATCTGACGGATACGGATATCGATATTGTGAAGCACGCTCATCCCATTCGTTCCAATAACCTAAATAAATAATATAAATTCAAATAAAAAATTTCATTCAAGCAAAACCTGTATAATTTACCTTGCGGTTGGCGATAGGTGTAGGCGTCCCAGTTGGTATCGTAAAAACCATGCTCACTAAAACATATTTTAGTTTTTTTTAAATACAGAATTAATATACTTCAAACATTCTCTCAAACTTACCTGTCACTGTGCACCGCACGAGGATTTGGCACTCCGGGTGCCATTTCATGGTGTTCGCGACCTTGTGCAAAACATTCTCTGAAATAAAATAAACATATTTTAGTTTTTTTTAAATACAGAATTAATATACTTTAAACTTTCTCTCAAACTTACCTGTCACTGTGCACCTCACGAGGATTTGGCACTACGGGTGCTCTTTCAAGGTGTTCGCGTCCTTTTGCCAAACATTCTCTGAAATAATTGTAAAAGACATATGCTTCAGAATACAAAATTATATCATTTTATTCGCTCACACATACTCATCCTTTACGTCTTCGGTTGCTTCATTAGCCATATCGGTAATATTGACATTCGCTTCATCACTAAAAAAGTTACACATTATTTTGTGACTACACATAACCTAAATGTTTTTTACCTCTTCAAAGACATGACGTCATCTTGGGTGGTCGAAGCTTCATTGTCGTTGGTGATGTATCCATTAATGTAAACGTCACCATCACCTTTCACGAAGAATGATACCGACTCGCCTTTTATGAATCCAATGTCGATGGCCAGTTGACTTGTCTGACGGCATAAGTTGGCAATTAAATGCTCTTTCTTGTTGAAATCCACCCAAACTTGTGTCATTTTTTTGTAACTTGATGGTAACATTTCGCAATCCAAAAGAATTGTCGATAAATGCAAGTCACCAGATGCGCCATTATAGACATGTCGACTGTCTTTGTTTATTTTCAAACCTATTTGTCAAAGTGCAAAATATATTAAATATTTGAAAATATAAATCAAATTCAAAAAGAAACTTACCCCAGAACATTTTGATGTTGTATCAAAATACTTTTTCAACAAGCTACAAAGAGTTGTTCAGTTTCTGTGAAGATATGTCAATCTGAAGCGTTCCTACATGCACACAATGTCTCAATACAAAGATTCATTCTCATATTGCAGCATTTATGACGCCAAAAAATTTATTCGTTATACACTACCACAAACACACATTTGTATTGGCATTCTCACACACTGATTATGTCACCCGACCCTTCTTGCTGAATCAACACAACTCTTCAAGTCACAGATTTTGTCGGTTGCTTTGAAGATGTGTCCACTTGTATCGTTTCAGTAAATACATGCACACGATTCAAAGATCCATTTTCATTTTAAAACAATATTGACCGATGTCAATATGCAAAAATACATGTATACATGTATTCGTTATAAACTACCTCGGACACACATTGATAGTCGCATTTTTGCACACTGAGCGTACCCTTCCTGCTGAATCAACACAACTTCTTAAGTCATCAATTATACACATTCAGCATTCCGAGCAGTTCGCACTTGATTTGAATTTCAAAAAATTATTTTTGAATTGAGAATATAATCGTGGGTTTACGTGTTTACGATGCCGAAGTCAAAGCGATTCAAAGAGCTCCGAAAGAGAAGCAAGCCATACATTCAGCCCGTTTTTGTCGTCGAACCGATCGATTTCACAGCTCAACCACAAACCACCGTTGAAAAAGAAGTGCTGACTTGTCCGAAATGTTTCATGGAATTCAGTTCAAACAAACAAAGCAATTTGCGTCGGCATCTAAAATTGCACGACGAAGTACAGCGAAATTTCAAATGCACTGTTTGTAATCAAATATATCAAAATCAAACGAACTTCAATACGCACAAAATGACAAAGCACCAAGGCATGGATCCAAAAAAAATTTTGTTCAAGATCGTCGAAGTGAAAGCCAAAGGTATAGTCATATGAATCAATTTATTATTTTACACAAAGAATAGAGTCGCTTGAAATAAGACATGATTTGTTCAAATATTTCCTTTGTGTTTTGTTTTTCAGAGCGGCCGATCTTTCAAAAGCCAAAGTGATGTGAACACTCTTGAATGATTTTTTTTGTTTTATCGACTGAATACAATGCTTTTATCACATACTTAAAATGCTCTTCAAGCAACATTTAAACAAATAAGATTAATTTTGTACGGACGACTATATTTTTTTAAACAATTATCTGTTAAACATTTCTCATTTTGAATATGATATTTTTTGTAAAAAATTTGATGATAACAAGTACAATAACCAACAATTTTTGAGAATTATTTTCGATCTAGCAAACTTCTTAAAATATAGTGTCTATTTTTTGTGATCAACAAATATATCGTACGTGTTTTGTGTATGTGATTTTTTAAACTAGAACATTTTTTAGTTTCTTGCTTAATTTGTTTGGTAAAATACAAAGTACTTCTTTGAATGCTTTTTCGAACCCCTTCCGAGTGAGATTTTTCTTGATTGTTTCTTCAGCTGCATTGTTTCCAAAAGACATTAAATTTGTCAACGGAACAGAGCCCCTATAATCGAAATAGATCGAATTGAATTTAACAATAAAATTTAAAGCGAACCAAAAACTGATTAATATAATAATTCTTTTTGGCACTCACGTTTGATTTGTTCCAAAAAATAATACGGTGGCTGTGCTCTTTGAAATGCCTAAAATACTCGATGGCCAAAAACAATACCCACGCATCTTTGCAAGAGCTAATTCCCCGGCTACCCAGTGTGAAGTGTGCTAAAAATAAAATGTATAATGATTCTTTGATCATGGAGCACTATAAGCTAGTAGTACGTACCTTTATCAGTGTCTTTTTGTTAGATTTTTTGAAATCCTTCTTCGATTTCTCTCCATTTTTATTCAGACTACTATTGATGTCTTTTTTCGAACAAAGAGACTTGAAAGAATGAAAAATATGTTGTTTTTTGAAAATGGTTTGTCAAAAATACGGCTCTTTAAACAGCAAAAGAAATCGGAATATATTTACCCGCTTAGATTTTCTGTAAAGTGAATCATTTTTTATCACACTGTTGTCGCTGTTATAGTCCGAATTGTTTTTTTTCCTCAAACGAAGACGCGTTTCAATGCCGATTTTTGCTCCATCTTTGTTTGTGTTCAATATATTTAACTGAAATGGACAGAAATCGTATATATATATTTTTCAAATAGACAAAATTCATTTTTAAAAACATTGAATATTAATCACCCGTCCATTGTT